ATTTTGTTTATTTAAATAAATATTATAAATTTAGTTTTTTTCGAATTAATTCGAAAATATCTAATAAATCGTATAATATTTGCATTTTAATATATTTCATATTATTTATAAATTATTTAATTTATTTTGAATTAATTCGAATTACCCCGAAATATTTCGAATAGTATCTGATAAATTCAAATTGATTAGCCTTTCTTTCTCATTAGTAGCTATCTTTTAGTTTATAAATATTTTGCTATTTTGATGCATTTATGTCTATTCGAATTGTTTTGAACTAATTCGAAATATTGTACAAAATATTACATAATATTGCACTATAAGTTTCATAATTTTGTGTAAAATATTGCATAATATTACGTTATATATTGTGCAATATTTCACAACTTTTTGCACAATATTATACCCAGATCATAATTATTGCGCAATATTTCAGGCCATAATAACTTACGTAAGATTACGTTAATATATTTCACTGATGTACTTTTTATATCTTTTATACTTTTATACCTTTTGTACTTTTTATACTTTTTGTACCTTTTATACCTTTTATACTTTTATACCTTTTGTACCTTTTGTACCTTTCATACCTTTTATACGTTTAGTACTTTTTATACCTTTTATACATGTTGTAAAAGCTATATAAACTCTAGCTTTTACCTTTCTTGTACTAGAGGATTCATTCCCTGCAATATTCTAATATATTAGGATTCTATAAGAATAGATACCTATAGATAGCTTTGTATCTAGATATTGTATCATAAATAAATAAACATATCTTTGCCCTAAAATAAACCATGTCTTTATGCTTCTAATGAATATACCGAACTGCTCTAGTGAGGAAACATTCTACTTCCACACTGTTTCATATCTCGCCCTGTTGTTTTAAAGATCCCTGTTGCTGTATGCTATGTTGCAAGTATAAATTAAGAAGGCTACTCTATTTGTAATATTTTGGTGCCTCCTGGCAAAAAGCAAAAAGTCTCTACCAGAAATCTAAAATATCTTCCAAGAAAAACTAAAAGATATTCCCCAGGAAATACTAAAAGTCTCCACCAAAAACCTAAAATGTCTTTTCTGGAATTATAGAAAATTTTCCAAGAAGCTTGAAAATATTGAACCCATTAACTTGAATATCCTCTTCTATTACTAAAGATTACTTTATTTATTTGTGAACATCTATTACTAAAGGAGTAATAGTGTACTTGGAAGTTCTGTCAAGTTGAAAAAGACTTATACAGAAGAGCACACTTGAAGCCTCTGCTTTCATAGCAACTGGAAAGTCCTGTCAAGTTGAAAGAGACTTGTACAGAAGGGCCACTTGAAGCCTCTGCTTTTGTAGCATCCAGAGCTCGCAGCCTACTGCAACCCCGAGGTTAGATCCCTTGAACAGGTACCCTATAAGCCAAACGTGTAGGCGTAAGGACCCATAGCTCACAGCTTACTGCAAACCTTAACCAAGAGTGTTAAGCACAAATTACCTATGAGCCAAAGTGTAGGCATAAGTAATTCCAACCTTATGAAATACAAACTCAGAAGAAACTTAAAACCCAACTCTGTTTCTAATATAAACCCAAATTTATTCTATTCATCCTTCTTATTTTTTTTATTCTAAACCCAATTCATTTCATCTATCCTTATCATTAAACCCGAAGAAACTAAGAGTTATATATTCTGACAATAATTGGGAGACGTTCTAAATATTTTTAGTACTATAACTTTAATTATCTGATTTTCTAATTTTATCTTAAAACACATTTTACATTTAATTCATTTTACTTAATCTATTCAATTCAACTCCATCTATCCCATTTCCCTAATCCCTAATATGATTCATTCCTAACTCTAAACCCAAAATTCATTCATTTTATCTAACCCTAACCTAATCCTATTCCTCTAATATTGAACCATCTCTAATCTAATCTATTTAACCCAATTCGCTTTACCCAATTTTTACCTACCCAATTCTCAAATTCTAAACCTAAAACCTGTTTAACTTTCCTTTTCTAAATTGAACCTAACCTCTTCTAAACTTTAATCCCAATTCAAAATTCATCTAATTTATTTATTCCTTAACCTACTCTATTTCATCTAAATTTAATTCTACCCTTAATTATAAACCCGATTCATATTTTTGAACCTAATCTTACCCTTAACTACAAACCCAACCTATTTAACCTCTTTTTCAAAATTCGAACCCCAATCTCCTACTCAATCCTAAACCTAATTTGTTAACCCTAACCTAAAAACCCATTTTTAACTATCTGAATTCTAATACTAAACCTCATTCTTTCTTAAAGTATCAATTTCATCTTAACCCCTAATACCAACTATTCGGCATACTATTCGCCACCAAGGCTTAAAGAACCAAATCTTCTATCTACCCGGAAACTATATCTTTCAAATAAAAAAAAAATCGTAGACAATTCTAGAAATCTTGCCGTAGACAACTAAGACATCAAAAAAAAAAGAATAGGCATAATAATAATAATAATAATAAAAAAAGACACAAAGTTTTGTGCCCTATATCTAGTTTCATGTAGCCCTTTGTTGAACTTTGAGTTAGCACAAGCTTTATGTCCACAACCGGAACCCGAATACTGCCTTGTCTGATCAAAGCTCTTAAAATTGGATAAAGCGAAATATCCAAAAAAAAAGTTAAAAAAAAAGAGCAGCATATAAAAAGGATACATCATCTATGTCTCATTTTATATAACCCTCCATGTCAAGAGAATTCAAGACATAGCTCTAGGTAATGGAAACATTAAGAAATATGGAAAATGAAAGTCTCTAGATAAAGCTAAAAAAAAGACGATTGATAATCAAAGTTTTACCTAGAAAATTCAAAATGACCTCTTAAGGTTTCTTGGTCTCTAAAAACGATGCTCTATTAAATCATTACTCTAAAAAACAGGAGCTTAATTTATCTTCTATTTCGTTATGCCCTATCAAAAGACCCAAAAAAAAAAAGTAACAAAACAATCAATACATAAAAAGGATATATTTTTAAGCCATTATAATCCACAGTCTAGTTTTGGCTTATAGTCTAAACCAGGTCCTGGCTCATTATATTTCCTATATCGCCCTAAAGTTCCCCATTCCCGTACTGCATAGTTACATCCTAGTGTTCTTGCTAGACTATGCTTCACTAAAAAAAAAAACAAAAAAAAAGCCTGATATTTATTTTAAAAATATTGGTTACTCTCCATTTTATTCTAATAATGCTGAAACTCCAATTCCAGCATAAACCTTACACTGATTATCTATGAGAAATCGGCCATTAAAAATAACTGTTTACTAATACCCAATACTTTTTTAATTTGGTACCAACTTTGGAAAGACACTCTAATTTCACTGGTATTTGGCTTCTCAAGTAAGAAAGACAATGACCAGAAATTGTATTCTGCCTGATTCATAACAGTTAACTTCAAGATCCCAATTCCGATAGAAAGAAGATTGGCTACCAAGAAATAGAACCCAAAATAAAAAGAACCTTTGTTAATAAAAAAGATGTAAAAAGAATATGCATAATATATAATAGATAAAAAAAAAAAATAACACAGGTAGAAAAAAGGCAAATCAGTATATTTACTGATTTTAGATAAATTAACAAATAGACATCAATAGGCAT